AACGAGGTGCTCGTAAGAATATGGATGAATAGTTGAAAAGATTTTTTGTTAACCATTTTATGAAAAAAAACATATTAAAAACTTATTCTATTTCTTGAAATTATTTTGGTTTTATTTAAATGATCTAACCTCTAGTCAAATTTTAAATCTGCCCAGTCAAAATTGAAATTTTAATTCTGACTGATAAATTCTTGGTCAAAATTAGAATTCTAATTTTGCCTAGTCAAAATTAAAATTTCAATTTTGACTGGGCAAATTTTAAATTTGCCCGGATTTCAATTTTGCCTACAACATATATATAAGTATCAATTAATTATCATGTTCTAATAATTCTTAGTTGATAACGATAACATTACTTTCTTTTTAAGGTTCAAGGAATATATAACCATGAACATTTAAGTTAAGAAAATATCACCAAAATGATATTTCGAAATAGATCGATAAGTAAAGCCTAAAAGTGTCATTGGAATTGTCCATTTTCAAATGATGGGTAGATTATTTCTCTCAATTTTAGGTTCTCTTTGTCATGTAAGTCTTGTAAGTTGAGAGTAAAACTGGATTTAATAAGGTGGTAAATACTTATTATAAAGTATTAATTAATATTGTTCTATTAAAACGGGTGTATCATATAAAATGTAGATCCTATATATCTGCACTGAGCGACGACAAAAAAAATACTTTGAACGGCTTTTGATTAGCGGAATAAATTGACTAACTACTGAAAATAAACTAGTCTTCTATCATCCGAAATTTCTTTTATTCTGAAAACGAAAATACCCATGTTTTTAACATTATTTCTACTACAAATTTCTAGTTCGTTTTTAAAATTATTAATGACGTTTTAAGCATGTCTTCAATAAAGGTTTTTAGAGGAATATTCTTAGAAAAAAATAAAAACTTTTAAACCTTCTTTATCTTAAGTTTCGAATTCGGTTCGGTTCGGTTCGGTTCAAAGTTTTGAAAAATTCGATCGGTTTGGTTCGGTTCGGTTTGAGATTTTTTCGGTTCGGTTCCAAAAAAACACGAACCGATCCCATCACTGATTTCAACATGATTTCAAGTTGATTCCAACTTGATTTCAACTTGATTCCAACTGGATTCCAACTTGGTTTCAACATGATTTCAACTTGATTCCAACTTGATTTTAAGTCAGATTTTAGGTGTTTATAATTGAATTTGAAATTCGTCGAAACGAAGCTTGATAATACCATAATCGACATTTTTTAATAAAATTTGTCGAATTCGACAAATTTGGATTTAAATTTTGTCGAATCGACAAATTTTTTTTCGACCAATTTTATCGACAAATTTGCAATCGACGTTTTTTGTATTCGACAAAATTGCAGGCACTCTTTTAGACCGGGTTTCACAAAAAAATATAATTCTCCATTCTTATATTAATTTATTGATATTTCAAAAGATGCATTAAAATTTTCTTTTCATTATTACACCAAAAACATGCTGAACTAGGACTAAAATCCGTAATTTTTTGCATCATATTGACTAACATGTGCAGTCAAATCCTACGATGGTTTATTAAATTTCAACATTTGATAAATTTTCTTATGATTTACTATAAATACAATTCTTTGTTATACTCTACAATATCCTTCCACTATGCATAAATTCTGATTTTTTCATGCAAAACTTTACCATTCGTTATCGATATTTCCTGTATCAATGCCATGAAGAACATCATCAATAGTTGCGTTTTTACCGTTACTCTTTGCTAGTAACTGAAGTAAATGTCGCATTGTTACATCATAAGTTAATTGTGATGATTTATCAAGTATTTGAAATGGTCGTGTAATTGTTGTCGTAATTGATGAACTTCTCGAACGTTGTTCACTATTATTATTATTATTATTATTATTGATTTGTTTTGTTTCTTTAGCAAAAAATTTATTAACAATATTTACATCAAATTGTAAATTATTTAATGAAAATTTTGTTGAATTCAATGATGATTGTGTCCAAATACTTGCTTCATTATATTTAAAATTATAAATTGGTCGTGCACGAATTTTAGCATATTTGTAATTTGTATGATCGAGTAATGGTGATGGTGTTTGATGAGGAAGATAAACACAACTATCATTAGTATTACTACTTATACTTAAACTTGTATGTGTTCGTTTTTTTGTATTAGTAACTGTTAGAAAATCTTGAAATGGTGGTGGTACCGGTGTAGGAGAAGTTTTATCAGGTAAGGTTTGTAAATTTTCTAGAAGATTGCGTTTTTTCAATGAATGACAACCTGAAGAAAATCAATGAATATTTCTATTATTAAGACTAGAAAAATTTATTTTACCATCAACACCCATCGCCCAATCGACCGGATTGACCGAAGAGCTAGAGTAGTTCGGCATGATTACGTATATAAGTAATGAAATAGAAACGACAGTGAATACAATAAAAGAAATAATGATAGCCGTTGTTCGTCTTACGGAAAAGAAAATAGATAAAAGATGATTTTTCTACTACGAAAGAAAAAGAAGAGCGCATACACGCGACAAAATTCGAATGAAATCTATGTTCATGAATGGTGAATATAAACATCGCGTATTGATTATATCGAAAGAAAAAGAAAAGAAAATTCCCTTATATTTTACTAGTAGTAAAGAAATTGATTTAGTTAATCGAAAAGAAAATTTTTATTTTTTTTGGGCACGATAACAATTGCGTAAATCAACTGGGAGAAACAGACTACGCTGAATGTACATTGTACAATAGGATATACACATATAATAGAATTTACAAAATTGAGCCTTTTGAAAAGTATATTAAATTGAAGAAATTTTTGAAAATCAGATACTTTCAAGCAAGATTTTTCTATCTTTTCTTTAAATTTGAACTCTTCTCTATCCTTACTATAACAAAATTTTTTGTTCGTACGACTATCAATGACATCTGTCTATAAAAGATTAACTTTAATAGACAAACTAAAAATGTAATCATATTGATCATATTGAAATATTTTTAGAATATTTTTTTTCATACCAATTCATATAAACATATCGAAAAACGTATTATATTCGTATATCATTCGATAACAAACAAAATCCAATAAAAATTTGCTACGAATTACTACCAGTCATTGCGTGGTTGTAATAAGAAAATATTAATTAAATTGAATCAAATATCGTAATCCTCAAAATGAAACCTTTCGTGTGCTTGTTTTTTATCTGTACATGCACGATATTGAATGTTCTTAGTTATGAGGTTTGTTTTAGGAAATATATTGTCTCTTGAATTTTAATGATTTCATTTAAATATATCAGGATGTTCTATCAGAAAAAATTAAACAATTAACACATTGGTCAAGTAAAAAGCCAGTTATTCGTCTAAATAGTGAAGGTTTTACAAATTATGTTAAAACACAACCAAGAAATTATTCAATGATGGTTATGTTAACTGCATTATCTCCTCAACGACAATGTGGTATTTGCAAGTAAGATTTATGAAATATTTAATATGTTGTTTGAACTATTTGTTTTTTTATAAAGACAAGCACACGATGAATTTGAAATAGTTGCCCGAAGTTATCGCTATTCAAATCCATTATCAAATAGTGTCTTTTTTGGTATGGTCGATTTTGATGATGCATCTGATGTATTTCAATATGTATGTATTACTGTATGTTACTGTGAAACATTTGAAAATTTTGTTTTTCGTAGTTACAATTAAATACAGCACCAGTATTTATTCATTTTCCACCAGAAGCGAAACCGAAGAAAAGTGATCATATGGATGGCAGTCGGTAAGTTAAGAATAGTACCAAGTAATGGATTCATAGTTATTTATATTAGTTCTGGATTTTCTGCTGAACATATAGCAAAATGGGTGCATGATCGTACTGGTGTTCAAGTAAGCTTATGCATATGTACAGTAGAATTCATTGAATCTTAGTTTGAAAGATATATTCAAGGCAAAAACTAATCTTTCACATCCATCATATTGTTACATAACAGTCATAATAAATATCTATTTCAATATTAAATATAGTCATTAAAGATCTAAACATATCGACTTTTCATAAACTTGTATCTAAAAGTCGTTTTAGTTTTTTTTGATTTGTCAGGTTGTCGCAGCTTGTGTATGCTATTTTACATACTAACATTGTCATGATAATTTAGATTGAAGCAAGAGACTGTCCTTGTAAAAAAAGAAATGTCAGAAAATTATGTATAGCAAAACGACATAAATAAATGAGACATTTATTGAGTTAATACACTATGTATTTTTCAAGAATCGACAGATAAGTAAACATTAACAATTAAAAACAAAACTATCTTTGAGTAACAATGTTTTGAATGAATTAGATGAAGTAATTTGGAAAAGATATATCAAGTTCTGTCATATTATAACAGTATAAATATGAAGAACGAAACAAAAAGAATTAATTAATCATTTATTTTTGATGATAATGACAATAATAATCTATTAGTAAATTTACGAGAGAACATTTCCAACTGTCGATTCATTTTTCACTTAAGATTATTGCCATTGAATCGGTCATGATCTATAGTCAAAAACATCTGTTTTGGCTTGATTTTTTTATCGTTGCTTGTTCAATTATAAGCGTTTCAGTCGTTTGATAATCACTAGAAACACTTCAAAGTTTAAGTTAGGATAAATAGATCCCCATCAAAATTCTTCTTTTTAAACACAGCTCAAAACAGATATTTCTATAGGACCTATATATAAGCATAGTTTCAGCCCGAAACTCGATCACTCAGATTCTCAATAATTATATGTTCATAGAGTCAAAAGTCAAGCAAAATGCTTGTAACTCAATAATCAAAGGTGGAAAAATCTGAGGATAATAGATTTTTTTACTACGCATCTTAACTGATTGAGTGGCAATAGTCTGAAATTAAAAGCAATGCTACAGTTGGAAATATTGCATTGCTAGTAGAATAGATAAATAACTAAATATTGCAATTACAATTAATTGTTAGTTATGATTGTGTTCAGCCAAAATGCAGAAGAAAAATCGTTTGTCATCTTTCAGCAACAAAGATACTCCACTGTATAATTTAATTCTCATATTTTCTGCTTAAAAAGAACGAAGGTTCCTTATTGAAAGTTTAGGAAAGAAACACAGGCTGATAGACTGTAGAGATTTCTATTTGTAATTTGCTTTGAGAGAACTTGAGCTATTTTTGAATCATTTGATTATTAAATTACTTTGTCAACATGACTTAAAATGTAAATTACTAGTTTTTGAAGTTTTGCAACACTCTGAACTTAGTATAAAACCAGAAAATAATTGAAAACATTAATAAAATCATTATTTTTATATTCTTTAGATTGAAATATATCGTCCACCAAACTATTCTGGATTTTTACTCATAGCATTAATTATAATAATGATTCTTGGATTACTTTATGTCAAACGAGATAGTTTCAAATTTCTTTTTAATAATATTGTATGGGGAATATTTGTTATCGTAAGTATTAACAATTGATTTTATCTTCAAATTTAAACAAAATTATTTTTTCTAATGAAAAAAAAAAAAGAAAATTCAATAAATCAAGACAACAGAGATATCTTACATCTATTTTTAGCTTGCTATTTTATTTTGTATTTCGGGACAAATTTGGAATAGTATACGTCATCCACTTTTTGCTCATCGTAATCCACAAACAGGACAAAGTGTAAGTGTTTTTTATTTATTTATTTAGGGTATTGTTTGTTATTTCATCTCTGGACAAACATGGAATCTTATAAATGGACCACCATTTATGCCCCAACATAAGAATGCAGTGGTAAAGTAATTACATGCGTGTGTGTGAATTTCACATATTATTTTCAGGGATTCTTCTCGGACGATTCAAATATGCAATATATTGCCGAAACATATATAGTTTGTAGATAAATGTTCAAGAATTAACATCAGCAGTAACAATATTCCGTAATAGAAATAGGCAATTCATGATTTTATGCACATACACGCATGTAATTCTTTGCCAATAGTTTTTTTCTTTTGTTTGTTTCGAAAGAAAAATTTAGATTATCATTTTGTTTAATAAAAGAAACCATTGAGTTCGACATCGTTTTATTATTATTGTTTATAGGGTTACTTTAGTGGATCTTCAGGATATCAATTCGTAGCCGAAAGTTATATTGTAAGCTATTGATATTATGAATGTACATTCAGTACTAGTAAAATAATATGGAATGGAATTGCCTGTTTCTCATTTACTGCATTGCTATTGCTTTTGTTACTAAGATTTTATTAACATACATGAATATTAATCAAGATTTTTGTTTTATTTAGGTCTTCTTACTCTATATCCTTTTTTCTGCTAATTTATTATATTCGACTTTCATTTGATTAGGTTTTTTTTTTTTAGGAAAGATAAATATTTAATTTATTTTCCTTAACTATGATTTCTTTTTATTTTTTTACATTTTGGAGTTTCTGTTGGTGTTATACTGTTAAATGAAGCACCCAAATTGAAATCTCAAACGGGAAAACGAAATAGTATATCAAAAAAAAGAAAACTTTGAACTATTCACAATTATATTTATCACTCTAGGTTTCATGGCGATTATTGGTCTTGCTACAGTCGTTGGTTTATTTAGCTACATATTGTCTATTTTTCGATTAAAAAATCAAGGTTATCCATATAGGTATACAGTTTCGTTTTTTTTTATATCTATGAAATATGTTCAATAAACATAAAATTCTTTTATTTTAGCTTTTTACTCAAATAATATGCAAACTGCGATAAATAATATTAGTAATATTCCATTATCATTTACAACAAAAACAGGCAATAAATATCATTCTATTTTAAAAACATAAAAGCTGTCTTCTTGTTGTTTTTCATGCTAATCTATTCTGTTACTTAATCATAATCTCATTCAATTTCTATAATAAATAACTAACATATTGACGTAGTGACAGTTTTATATTGTTTTCTTTTTCTTATTGTCTCTTTTATAATCTAACTCAAATAATAGAAAAAAATCTTACTTCTTTCTGTTTTTTGTATTCGTTCAGCTTATTGTTACTCGACATATATCCCTTTTTTTTCTGTTCGATAAATAATTCTCTTAGTTCATTTTCGAAATTAAACGACAATCAAATACTATGGAATATGGAATATTGATGTTATTCTTATCTTTGATCGAACGACTTTTTGTTTTTAATAATGAAGTTGAAGTATTTAATATATCTTAGATTACTTTCATTAGTTTAATCTAATCAGTAGTAAGAGTCATATTTCGAAAACGAAGAAAAAAAAAGATGCTTTTTTAGTCACTTGTTTCATTATTTGTTGATAGAAAAAGAAGCATTCCAAGTTAATGAAGTCTATCCGAAATCATTCAGAATTCAAAATCAATTTTCTTTTTGGATCCCTTGACTCGATTCAAAGCAAATCATATCAAGAACTTTTGCCTTCTATTGAAAAATCCATTAACAAATATAACAAGTGACAAAGCATACGAAAAAAAAAAGATAATTGATATTCTCAACTTTACATGTATGGATATCATATATATGTAATATCGAAAAACGAAGACATATTTAAATTGCCGTGATGAATTATAATATTGCATATATACGTAATCAACTATGAAGAAGACAATTACATCAAACATTTATAATAATATTGTAAAAGTTACAATGAAGAATTTGATGAATATTTAAATGATATTAAGAATATTGACTCATTATTTCAATGAGACAAATAGAGAATAGATCATATTTTAGATAAATATAATTGTTTATCAACAGATAAAAAACAAGCAAGAAAGAAATTACTAAGATCTAATCTTCATGTGAAACCTTTATAATTAAGTACAGCACAACGTGGTGATGGTGCTTCACATTTTGTTGTTATAGCCACAATAAGTGTTGTTGTTGACGGACTAACTCTTGTCTTTGTATGTTCTTATTTTGATGTCGTACATGTTCGTAAATAGTCTATATAACAAAAATCTAATAAAATATTTATTAGCTTATCGATGATTGATTTCCGATTATTATGTTTTTATTAGTTTGATAAAAATAAAGAAATTCGTATTCTAGTCAAAATCAAGAAAATAAATTGAATCGAAATTAATCCTGAACATATTCAAGAAGTTGGTAAATAGTTGACGAAATATACATTTCCTTTTGTTTATTCATATATTTCTTGCTTTATTTTTAGGTTTACTTATTTGGCATGATTCATTTGATTGTAAAAAAAAAGCAGGATAAGCAAAGAGAGTAATTTATTCCTATTTTGCCTAGTTTTTTTTTTTTATCGAATAGTGTTCTTATTTGTTGATTTGTTTTCCTTTTCTATTAACTAAATGCAGAGCTATTTCTCTCTTTACATCATTCTCTTCATTCCAATAACTAGAAATAAATATCTATCTAGGGATCATTGATATCTTCTCTATTCCCATTCAATCGTTTGTACTTAAATAATCAGATGACTTTGACCGAATCGGAAACAAATGGCTGGCAATAGCTTATTTTTATTGAAGAAACATACATACTTGTCTTCGTTTGTCTTTACATTGTATATTGTACAGCGATTATTTTTTCATCAGTATTCCTCCCTCTCTCTCTCTCGTTCTCTATTGCAGAATAGAACAAAGAGAGGAGTAAGAACAAAAGCACTCGACTTTTTTTTTGCTTCTATAAAAAAGAAAGAGACCCTATTTCGATATCTTTGTCAACTGGTGAACTGCTTTTTTTAATATTCTTTTTCTCATTTTTCTCGTGGCATCTGTATGTAAATATATAGAATAGTATTTTCCATTAGAAATAGTTGGAATATCTATCCATAAGTAATGCCAGCTAACACAAAAGAAATGTTTAGATATTATTGTTACAATAACTAGTAATCTGTTAAGGCTTGAGAAAGAACAGAAGTACACATTACGTACCGTCATGTAATATAGCATATAGGTAAGTTGATCAATCATTTTATATTTAAACTTTCAGTTCATTATATATATATATGTTGTAGGCAAAATTGAAATCCCGGCAAATTTAAAATTTGCCCAGTCAAAATTGAAATTTTAATTTTGACTAGGCCAAATTAGAATTCTAATTTTGACCAAGAATTTATCAGTCAGAACTAAAATTTCAATTTTGACTGGGCAGATTTAAAATTTGACTATAGGTTATATCATTTAAATAAAACAAAAATAATTACAACAAATAAAATAATTTTTTATTAATTCTTTTTAATAAAATGGCTAATAAAAAAAATCTTTTCAAC